TTTAATACACAGGTGAGGTTGGACGGATGGACAGATGGATAATCTCATACATAGATGAGTGGATGGATGGACACTTTAATACACAGGTGAGAGGTTGGACGGATGGACAGATGGATAATCTCATACATAGATGAGTGGATGGATGGATACTTTAATACACAGGTGAGAGGTTGGTTGGATGGACAGATGGATAATCTCATACATAGATGAGTGGATGGATACTTTAATACACAGGTGAGAGGTTGGATGGATGGATGGACAGATGGATAATCCCATACTTGGATGAGTGGATGGATGGATACTTTAATACACAGATGAGAGGTTGGATGGCTGGACAGATGGATAATCCCATACTTAGATGAGTGGATGGATGGATACTTTAATACACAGGTGAGAGGATGGACAGATGGATAATCCCATACTTAGATGAGTGGATGGATGGATACTTTAATACACAGGTGAGAGGTTGGACGGATGGACAGATGGATAATCCCATACTTAGATGAGTGGATGGATGGATACTTTAATACACAGGTGAGAGGTTGGATGGATGGACAGATGGATAATCCCATACTTAGATGAGTGGATGGATGGATACTTTAATACACAGGTGAGATGTTGGATGGATGGATGGACAGATGGATAATCTCATACTTAGATGCAGTAAGGCCGAGATCCTCCTTGTGGCAGTGGCAAGTGGGTGGCAACTTTGTGACAGGCAGCGGCAATCGCCAGTAAATCAGTCGGCGTCACAACGGCACGCTGGGTGGGAGGAGCCAATTTTTCCCAGAAACAACTGTTATTTGTACGACAGGTCAGCTGCTGTAAATATTTAATTTAATTTTATTTTATTTGAGACACGTGAGCCCCCGTCTTCTTATTACAGAGGCTAATTTTAGGTTTGGACCGGCGGGTTCCGTGTAGGGGGTGGGGCTCTCAAGTTTGATGCCACCCACTTGCCACTGCCACAAAGAGGATCTCGCTGTCACTCCTTAGATGAGTGGATGGATGGATACTTTAATACACAGGTGAGAAGTTGGTTGGATGGGTTGATGGATCCACACAAAGAGCTACATGGTTGGATGGATGGTGGATGAATACATTCATGAATGGCTGGTTGAATATAAAAATGGATAAATGTCTGATCAGACACCTTGATGTTGGGTGAATGATACATTAATGCATGAATGGCTGGTTGGTTGGTTGGATGGACCAATAACTGAATTGGTGGACTGAATGAATACAGCAGTGGGTTTAAGATGTATCTCTCTGCTTCACATCTTTGAATTCTTCCTCTTCTCAGGATACCAGAAACAGCTGGCATACAGGAGGAGTGATGGCTCCTACCCCCCCTACAGGAGGGAAGGTGCAAGCACATGGTACCTTTTTATATTGACGTTTTCCTTTAATTAAAATGTGCTGATTTTTGCTGTGCCAAGTTCTGAAATAATATACTCTAAAGAGCATTTCAAAAGTCAGTACGCGTCACCATCGTCCAGTTCCTCGTCACTTGACCTGTTTGACATGTGACCTGATGAAGTTCTAATCACGGCCCGTCTGATTGTCAGGATCACGGCTTACGTGGTGAAGGTTTTCTCCATGGCTCACTCCACCACCGGCATCGACGAACAGCAGGTGTGCGACCCGCTCCTCTACCTGGTGAACAACAAACACCGGCTGCCCGGAGGGAACTTTGTGGAGGACAACCCTGTTTACGATACTACCATGACGGTGAGCCTTTCTTCTTTCCTCTCACACGGTCCTCGGTTTGTTTTTCTCCTTTTAAATCCTTTTTATAAATAATTATCACGTGCATCTTTAGTCCAGTTTCCATTTGACACCAAACAGAGCAAGTAACTCTTCAAGAGCTGCCACGTTGCATCAAGTATTTTACTTTGTGTACCCAAAGATTTCCTTCACTACTGAGCTATTCAGGCCTTTCATAGGAGCCTCTTGCTTGTGTCTGCAGGGCGGTCTCCGCGGTGACGACCCAGAGGTGACCCTGACAGCCTTCGTCCTCATCGCGCTCTCTGAGGCCAAGCAGGCCGGGATCACTTGCACCGGTCCGAACGTAGAGGTACATTTCATATGAGCTAATGGCTCGCTGCTCCTACCGATTGTTGTCCATTAATCAGTAGCTGTACCTGCTGCAGGCGGTTATCGGTAAGACGGCCGAGTACCTGAGGAGAGCGCTGGGCGCGGCGGGGAGGAGGCCGTACACCGTGGCCATCGCCTCCTACGCGCTGGCTCTGCTGGGCGAAGCTCAGCCCTTCAACCCGACTCCATCTTTACTCAGAGCTGCAGCTGCAGGTTCCTCAGACACTCGTCCAAATGTTGATCCTGTTATTCACTAAATACTATTACTGCTCTTGTCAAATTGCTGCAGTGCTTTGCTTCAGTGCTGCTCCTCCTGTCTGTTTCTACAACCTCCATCAGCTCTCAGTTCATCACTTTCTATGGAGAAGAAGCTCAGACTGCCCCTCCTCAAATAATCCATCGATCCCCTCAAAGCGCCGCGTCGTTGCTCCCGCTCTCCCTCCTCCCTCTAATGTGTCCTCTCTCCTCCAGGCGGCAGCCACTGGCTCGACACACACAACCCCTTGTTCACCTTGGAGGCGACCGGCTACGCTCTGCTGGCGCTGGTCAAGCTGGGGCGCTTGGACGAGGCCGCTGCGCCCTTCAAATGGCTGAACAGCCAGCGGAGGAGGGGGGGCTCTTTCGGCTCCACTCAGGTGAGGGCCGGGGCGATACCGGTGGTCCGGGCTCTGATTGGTCCACCCGCTGAACGGCGTTTCCTTTACCCCGTTTCTATCAATGAGGATGAGCTACAAACAGAAGCTCCACCACGAGAGCGCTGAACTACACCCTGAAACAGGAGGAGACAACAAAACTAGAACGGTTCTGACCTTTGAACTGCAACTTCAATGTTTTCATGCAGTCAACCAGAATCTGGGATTTTTCTGCCTCTTTTAACACAGTGAAATATTTTACAGTTGAAGCCACATAGTTTTCAACGGTGTCTTGCTGTAGGCTGATACTAATATTTATACTTGTATACTTTATATTTGTTTAAGTGTTCAAAAAACTATACAGATGTTTAATTTATTACTTTTATGGATAAATATACCAGTATCATATCGTATTTGTGGTATTGTATCAAATTCCGTTATCGTATCGTAAGTATCGTGTATCGTGATATTTATGTCGTGTATCGTATTAAAGTCATAAATTTGGTAATCAAGTAAATTACACAGCTGACGAATCTGAATCTGAATAAATCGACCGTTGAAATAAAGAAGTGGCCACAATGTACAGAAAGTCACAGCTGTCTAGTAACGTGTGGTGAACGGCTTCTTGAGGGCTCAGAATGCGTCCCGAGCTTCTCTTTCCACACCAAGATTGTATCTCAAAGTGAAAGTAATGAACTGAGTTAAATGTCCTTCAAACCCCCTTCTGGGCGCTCTGTCTCCTCCTCAGTCCACCATGGTGGTGCTCCAGGCGCTCTCAGAGTATCTGATAAACAAGCCTCCTCCTGGTGACCTCAGTCTGGATGTGGACGTCCGGTTGACGGGACGCAAGGAAATCCGTTACCATTTCAACCCCCGGACGGCCTACGCGGCTCGCTCCTCCAGGGTGAGAGAGCCTCAACGTGACAAAGGGAAAAGTGGACTCACCCACTCGTTTTTCCACCGCCATTTTGAAGGGCGGCGTCTTTGTTTGTGCAGCCCAAAGGGAGAGCAGAGTACAACTGAGTGACGTCTCATCTGTCAATGCAACGTTCCGGTTAACTTTCATGAAGCGAAGAAACACTGAAAGGTTTAAAGTCGTGAGACAAAAGACAAAAACAAAAACGAACGGTAGCGACCTGTTAGTCACAGTAAGCCCCGCCCTTAAATACTAATCAGGGATTTTAGTCAGCTGTAACAGTGACAACACGTAATGTGCGTAATGTGTACAGCAAAGGTCACCAAGCCAACTGTGATCTGAAGTCATTCTGTTCAAAACGTCTTCTTCTCCGGTGCTTCTGCTCCGCAGTTGCCGGCTAATCTTGATTTGGAAGTCGAGGCTCGGGGGAACGGAGAGGGGATTCTGGAGGTACGATGACGCAACCACCTTCAATTCAGCAACATTTCGCTTTGATCTTTTACCCAAACATGATTCAAAAGTTGAGTCAATGATGACCAACATTTAAAACATCGCACAGAAATATAGAACTTTTCTTCTCAGTGGTTCATTTTGCATGTGTTGTCACTTCCTGTCACTTTGACCTCAGGTTGTGACCTTTTACAACCAGCTGCACGAGGTGGACGATAAGACGTCCTGCAAGGACTTTGAGCTCCTCGTCACTATTGAAGAATCCAGCGGTAAAAGGCTCATAATTTTACAATTCATAATTTATCATTTTCTCTTTTAGTACCACAAAGGCATTATAACATTTTAACAAAGTGGAAAACAGTCCAGATTGTTGCATTTCCTTGATAAACTGGAAACCTGCAGCATTAATCATGACATAATAACACAAACATAGTTAAAACCCTAATTTATGGGAAACTAAGCAAAAAATTATGTCAAAAGTGGACATTTTATCAGCATCCATAATGTGCTTTACAAACACACAACATGTAAGATAGTATTATTGACA